CGCTCTGCTTCCTGCAGCTCTTTATTGCACAGGCAGGAGAACGCCATTAAACAGCACGCTGGAATTCAGGGGAAATTCCTGGGTGATTTAGACAAGTTGGAGAAAAGATGGAGTTAAATATTTGGATGATTAAGGCATCGAAGCGTCTGACGTGTGAGGGAAGGATGAGCAAGCTGGGAGTCTTTGGCCTCAGGATGAGGTGATACAGGAGGGATCTATAAATGTGTATAAATACCTGGGGGGAAAGGATAAAGAAGACAGAGGCAGACTTTTCTCACTGGGCACCAGCTTGCATGGTAAGAAGCGTTAGGAATAATCCCAAATACAGCACATTCCACTCCAAGAATCCAAAATTTCCTATTGTCACTGTAAGGGAGGTCAGACAGTAGAACAGGTTGCCCAGAGGGGCAGTGAGTTCTGCATGCTTGGAGAATTCAGAGCCACAGTGGGCAGGGCAAGCTGCTCTGGCTGGCCCCAGTGAGCAGCAGGGGCTGGACTAGGGGATGTCCAAAGGTCCCTTCCAACCTCTGGATCCTGGAATTGTTTACCAGTGGAAAATAGAGGCAGAGACATTGAAACTATCTGGATGCCCAAGATATCTGTGGTAGAGCGGGAGTCCGTCACACTCCAGGACTTGATTGAGAGATAACCCTAGTCATTATCACCGATTTTTCCTCATTTTACAGTGGAAAATCATCAAACATATGCTTTTTCAAATGGCCCGAGCCATTTGAAATTCAGTATTTTACAGCAGGTACTGTGGGCCCTTTATCAAGAGGGGAAAGTCTATATGCGAAATAAATAAGGAATAAAAGCATACCACGTTTTTTTCCTTCCAAACAATCTCACCGAATGTAACTGCTGCTGTGTGTGTTGGCCCTGCAGTCTGCCCAGGCGACCTTCACCGGGGCCACTCCGGCTCACTTCCCCCATCTGCTGGGAGCAGGCAGCTCGGCCAAGGGCGGAGGAAGCGTTCTCCAAACACACACGGGCCGTTTATTTTTATGGCCTTCTGCTAATCACAGCCCGATTGCCTTCAAACCCAGCTGCAGTGACCTTACGTGCGGGGCATAGCAGCTTCTCCCACCTTCAGCACAGCTGCCTGGCAGGGCTTTTGGGGAAGGAAACCTTGCCAGCCCCGTGGAGCTCAGCAAACCTCGCTTCTCTGCCCCAGCGCCTTCCCCTAGTTAGGAATGTTGTATGAGGCGCCTGAAATCCAAAGGCTGTTTCTAAATCTCACACTTTGCCCAAGTTTCTTCTCCAGATTTGCCCCTTAAGAGGGGGAGGGAGTGGGGAGGTTTTTTCCTGCACTTCATGTCCCACACAAAGTTCATCATGCTCTGACTGTACCTGTATTTCAATGTGACAGCGCAGCCCACACTCAATGTATTCATCCTCCAAATTCTGTGCAAGAAAAGGCAGTGCTACAGTCCCTGTTCTACAGACCAGGGTCATGTGGGAAGTCTGAGGCAGAAAAGTCACCAAAGTGGGTTTCCCAGGCCAGTACTTGGACCTCAAGACTGCACTTCCTCACTTGTGGAGTGAAGTAATTATGCCATAAACTCCTAGCATGGAAATTAAAAACAATGCACAAAGAAGAGCTCGACATCAGGCTCTTCTCTTTTGTTTTGTTTTTTGATCTACTTGGGAAAGCAGGGTAAAAAAAAATGAGTAAAAATTAAGCACATTAATACAGATTCAGGTTGCACATACATTTCTAAGTCTGAAATAGAAATTGATTTTCTCCTTTCACCAAGTGCCGAAGGTGAGCTTCATTATTAAAAAAAAAAATTGAAATATCTTTGAAAGTCTGCATTCTTTTCTACAGGCCCCTTTTTCCTTCCAGTAAGATAAAAGAGAGCGGCGCTGGCATTTTATATTCTAAATTTTGACTGACCAGAACAAAATGTTTTACCAGCAATGTGGGTTTTCACCTAAGCCTTTTTTGTGCATTGAGTTTGACCTTAGGATGTAGAATTTCATAAAACATTTATTGTCTTCTCCAGTTTTTAGAGCACAATTCCCCTGTGATACTTTGTTTTCATCGTCTGCGCTGAAAAGGATTTCAAGGCTTCTCTCACAGTTTGAATTTTAATTGTGGGTGAAAGGAAAGAACCTCTGCTACTTGCAGCAAAATTAGTCAGTGTCTCCGTAAGCAAAAAGATTTACAGCAGGTAAAGAGGATTAGGATCAGAACCAGGAGACAGCCAAGAGTATGAAGAGTGGTTATAGCAGAGATATTTTGTTCCATAAATGAGCAGGTTTTCCATGTGTCCCAGTGTCTCACTCATCCATACTGGCAGCAGCAGTGATCCTTTCCCTCAAAAACTGCAGCTGATAAAGGCAAAATGAGTTAGAAAACAAAGAACCAAACCTGAGCTGTTTGAGGCAGACAAAGGCAACTGTGAGGCAAACAAAGAAATGTTTTTTTCTCTGACTTTTCCTCTATCTAGACCCCATTGATGCCTCAGTCTGGATGCTGCAGGTTTACCACTAAATACTCTCCAAAGATTATAATGCATCAATTATCAAAGCCATTCTAGAGGTACCACTTTACTTATATTGTTAACGAGCTTGGCTATAAAGGGATTTGCAGCCTGAGCTTCATGACAGAGCCAAGGTATAATTTGCTCTGGGCTATAAAGCCCATGAATTATTGAGAAAATTTACTTCCATGGCTGCATTTTCTTTCTGAGCACAAGTGCTCGTGCTGAGTGCATGTGTGAGAGAGAGTGATGGAGGCTCCAGCCTCAGCAGTCCATCTCCCCAGCACAGGCTCTTTCACACAGCCAGCAAAGAACAGCAGAAAATAACTGACAAAATGATCATTTTGAACAAATGAGAGAAGAAAAATTGCATGCTGAACAGTGCCAAACTGAGGACCAAATAGAAATCACAATTAAAATGCACTTTGGGTAATTACAGAGAGGGGCTTTTCCCTTAGAGATGTCACAAGGCTTGTGTGGATATAATCAGACTTGAATAAATTTAGTGATGGTGAAACCCACCAGCCTGACAAATCAGAATTCTTAGATCCTGCATCAGGCCAAGACTATACTCTGCTGTGGCACCAACCTCCCCACCAATGTTATTTTTAAAACTGGTTTCTTTTGGAAGCTAGGTTTTGGAATCACAAATTCCTGCTTCCCCACAATGTCCTGCTTCCCCTCCTTCCACTCTGCATACCCAACTAATAACTTCTGAACTCACTGATAACTTCTGAATTCACAGCTAACAACTTCTGAATCCACTGACCAATTCCAAGCAAAGCGACAGAGAAGTGCAGGTTTCCACACTGTGAAGTTCTAGAGTGTCCATGGACCAGAAGCTGTGTAGAGGTGAGGGGTCTCTTCAAGAAGGACTCCAGCATGGCACCAGCCTTAGCGGGCTCTGGAGAAGGCCACTCACAAGAAAGGCCTTAATAATTTCCTACCTTTAAGGTTACACAGCAAAGTGAGCTGCTTTTGGTGTGCAGAGGGGAGTCTGTGTTCCTGAGGCTGACTGGGGCAGTAATTGCTGTTAACAATTTCTGAATTAATGAACTACGTTACAAGGCGAGAGCCTGGGCAAAACACGAGACTTTTCCTTGTGCTAGAAAGGAAACACAAGATCATGTTCTTATTCCTAGGAAGTCGCGGGTGTTTGGGGTTCTCCGGGGGTTTGCATCTCCTGTGCCCGAGCGGACGGAGCCGGCAGGTGCGGCGGCAGGAGCGCGGCAGGGCGCGGGAGCTCCGCGGCCCTGCGCAGCCGGCAGGCAGGGACTGCCCTCTTGTGTCAGCCACGATTCTTTCACTCCAATGGCTTTCAATTCCCCTCTCGATTTGGGAGTGAGCGCTCAGCCATTTCCCTCCGGCACTAATTCCCTCTTCTTCCCTCCGGCTTCGTTCTGGATGCTGTGGAAAAGTTCAATAAATAAAAATACATCTGCTGTATTTATGACTTGGAGACATCCAGAACTGGCCGTATTTTGCCCTTCCAGCCAGACACATCCAATAGTCACCCTGGCTTATGCCCGGCCTCCATCTTGACACAGATAAGAAAAGCAGAGGAAAGAATAAAACAGGAGAAATATAATGAAGGATGACAGAGAGGAGACACAAGAGAAGCAGATTTGTTGCACCAGTCAACTCTCATAGTAAGTTACATGCAAGTTAAATATAGAAGCGACCCTTCCCTGGGGAGCCAGACTCATGGACAGCTCACACACATGACTCTGCAGCAGCATCTTGGGCCTGTGGCTGGCACAGATCTTCATTTTTAAATCATTAGTGCTCATTTCCAGGGCAGTTCTTTCAGTAATGGTTGTCAGAGAATAACAGTCTTCTAAAAGCTGTGCAGGCTTTTGTGCCCACCACTTCTACTGCCTGTTAATGACAGACACCTAAATTTATGCTACATTCACTAATAGCACCGAGTGCTCAGGCTTTGCTTGCTGCTCTTACCCAGAGCAATGAGCCCCCCTGGCAATTGCTCATGTTCTTAAAGCAGCCAGATTAGCACCTTGCTAAAGTGGATTCAAAGAAAATCACTGCTCAGAAGTGGACAAAATTTGGACCATTTGGAATATGGAAGGGCAAGGGAAAGAGCTGGCATTAAAAACCCTGCCTCTGGAACCCATATTTTTGTCTGTGCTGCTACTGCTGTAATCAGCTCCAAGCTCCCAGTTCTAAAATGATGCTCAGCAGTTATCCCTCTATCAGTCCTTCATTAAGAACCATCCTTAGAGTATTTTCTTTGAACTTTTGCCCAGCTTATACTGTGGTATTTGTGTCTTTAACTTATTCTGGATGGCTCAGCACAAGCATGTTTTGTGTCACCCTGCTCATTCCTGAGCTTGTCCATGTTCTGAACTGGTAAAAGCTGCCAGGAACCTGTGATTTTTCTTTCCTGTGCTGCCTGAGACCCTGACACCTGAGCAGATAACAAAATATAAAGGCACCTTTGAAATATTTGATGAATATTTAAAACACATCAATAATACCAAACCATATGTGCAAGTGTCTCTTTGGAATTAATGTGTAATTTGTCTGGAAAAAATAAATAGCAAAGGGAACCCACCCACAAGGCAACACATCTTGAAAATAGAAATGGAGAGATTTATAGAACCTGAAAAACAATCCCTTGTGGTCTCATGACCACCACCAGCACAGAAGTGTCGTGTCTCATCTGCCTCATTCCCTTTGTGCAGGTGTGAAACAACACAAAGCATTTCCCTCCACACTCTCCTGTCCTGGCATCTTCCTGCTCCGTGAGGAGCATGAGCCACTGTGCAGCACTTTGTCCTCAGCAGTTTCCTGGGCAGTTGGTGTTCTCAAAAGAAGAGAAACTACAGAGGCTGTTCAGTGTCACTTGCTGGGATTCCCCCTCCAATTCCAGCTTGGGAAACTTCTGTTCTAGTACAACAGCTTCCTGTTTGTGCTGTTCTGAGTGTGTATTCCCAAGGTGGCAAAATTCTCCTAACCTTTTTTATTGCTGGACACAAGGAACAATTTTTTTTATCAGAAGATGAACACGCATTCACGTCCCATTTTTACAGGCATTTTTAAACTGCTGCCCTTTTACCTCATTTCATATCCTTGAAGAAGCTTTACCAGGGGATTACAGCAGTCACAGAAAACATTTCTTCTGACAGATCACTACAAGGGCATGAGAAGAAATATCCTTCCATCATAACCTACTTATAAACCCAAACTCTTTGTGTCTTCTTTAACTCTTACAGTCCTTCCCTTACTTTCCTCCCCATCTGAACTGAGTCAGACCTGTGGCTGTTCTTTCGTGGCATCTTCTGAATCTTCTGAATTTTCCTGTCTTGCTGAACCTCTGTTGATTGTGTCAGGTGGGAACTGGCTGGGATTCAGCCCATGTGGTGTCACCTGTTCAGGGATTTCATCAAGTTTCTGGTTTGTCCGTGCCACTTGCTTTCCCATTTGAACAGCTTCATCATAGGAAGGTGGCAGGTCCATGGCATAGAGGCTGTAAGCAGGAGGGGACACAGTGTTCTTATCCATATCCACAAATACCAAGGGAATCTGGACACTTGGAGGGTACTGCCATGAGCTGTATGCTGTGAAGAAAAAGAATTAAAAATAAAAATGAAACACCTGCGTGGGACACTGATACATAAAGGGCTAATCCTGCTTTTTTTCCAGGAAATTACAGATTTCTGTGCTTTCAGAACAAAGGCACAGTATACTAAAGCTGTCACTCCTGATCTTCAGTGTCACTCACTGTCACCCTGATCCCTCCCTTCACCTCTTGTGCCCACCCTGTGGGGCTGGAAGTTGTTCTGGGAGCTCACTGAGAATTCCTGTTCCTGCAGGGGCTGGACACAGCAGTGCAGGCACAGGCTGAGGAGCAGTGCTCCGTGGAGCAGGCGACTCCCAGGATACTCACAGGTCACTGTGCTGTGGGCAGTGCTGTCACTGTCAATGCCAATCACTGCCAGGTCACAAGGGTGCCGAGGGAAGGTCTCCACTGGGAGCCTTTTCTTCTGGCAGCAGAACTTGACACAGCTCGCCGAGACCCCACAGAGCAGGAGCAGGAACACCAGCAGCAAGATCAGCCTGAAACAGGGGGAAACACCATCATCACTGCTTCTGTTTTACTGCTTCTGAACCAGAATGTCATTTCACTCGAAATGGTTGGAAGATCCGCCGAGGCTCCTTGATTTACTTCTGAATGGGTGCTGGATCCTGGATTAGGAAGGTGGATCACAAACACTCAATCACAGGTTGAAGAACTGCTGCCCATAAGTACAACCTGTTCTGGCTCACAGGTGCTGTAACATTTCACTATTTTGGGTTATTTTTAACTTCTGTGCAGGGAGAATGGCTCTGCTTTCCACAGCAAGAGAGGGTTTGTACTTTGAGGGAAATACAAGCACAAATTTCCACAAGTCTAGGGCCTCTCTTTATAAATGAGGATGGAAATTATATGATATTAAATTATGCTTATGCTTTGAAAACACAATTCTATCTAGCTATTGCTTAAGGAAGTTTATCATTTAATAATTTACAATGTACCTAGGCTGATATACTTGTGTTTCAGGTTCCCCTCTCCACTGAAACTCCACCTTCCCACCTCTCAGTTTCTCAATCCAGCTCCCTCTTCTCGTGGAGGCTTTTAGAAGCCTTCTCAATCTATTTTTGGTAACTGTGTCTTTTTAAACAGCTTTGTGTATCAACAAAAGTTGCTGCAGACTGAAGGATGTGAAGTAATCAACTCCCTCTGTGTGCTGCCACCAAAGCCAATGTATGGACAGAATGCAAACTATGAAAAGGATGTCAGGGCACCTACACCAGGTGTGAGGTAGGAGATGAATCCTGTTGGGAATTCTGTGTCTTGTCCCAGTCTCCCCTCCCAGCAGGCCGTGCTGGAGCTCCGAGGGGAAGCTCAGCAGAGGGTGACAGCCCCTGTCCCATAGAAGGGAATGAGCCCAGGATGGGCCCAGCAAATCCCTGCTGGGAGCTGCCCCGTGCCACGAGCCAATGGCCAGCAAGGCTCTGGCTATTTAGGAAGAACAAACAAGCCCTGGAGTTCAACTCCAGTGCACTCAGAAGGGAAAGATGACACAGCCCTCAGTGAATGCTGGTCCCCACCTGACACCCAATCTCCCCTGGCCTCATCCAGTCCATTCCTCTGCAAACAGAGAAACCCTTCCCTGATCCTGCCCGAGACAAACGTTTCCACTGCCTTGCTCCAAGTCCTGCTCATAAAAACTTCCAAATGGTTCTGGGTGAGGAAGATTAAAAGCCAACTTACCAGACATACCACAGATTTGTCCAATCAGACATGTTCTGAGGGCATCTGTGAAGGAAGGCAGATGATTCACTGATTTAAATAGTGCATGTATGACAGGGAATGCATTCCCTTGGGTGGAAAAGGGAAAGCACTCAGTAAGAGTGTGGAGCAAAACCACTTTAGATTGTTCTTCATGGTTGTACCATTACTCCAGATGAGAACATGCAAATAATCCCACTGTAAAGGTTGCTTCTGAATCAATAAATGTTTTTATTGAGTGGTGCTTTACTCTTGCTTGGGAGAGAGAATGACTCGTGTAGGATTCCCAAAAAGCCAAATCAGTGTTAAAGGTAACTGAGATGAGGTGCCTCATACCAGAGGCCTGTCTGAAAATGCTGGTCTAGACAAGTGCCTGTGTCCTCCAGATACTTTAAATTATTTTTTCCATAGCTCCAGTGCAGGCAGAAATTGCTTTCTCCAGCTCTAGTGCAGTGCAAAAGGAGGAGGACAGCTCCTGTGCCGTTTCAGCAGGGTTGTGTGTGCTGAACCTCCTGCAGTGGATTTCCTGTACCAGAACCATGGCTCTGACCCAGGACAGCGTCTGCAAACTGTTCAGAAGTGACACTTGGGAGTCGTCTTGGGAGAGAACCATTCCTCAGTCCACAGAGCAAGGGCAGCCAAGTGAAATTTAAAAGTTGCTGACCGTCTTAGAGATCAAAAAAGAAGTCGTAAGGGATGGCCACGAGCAAGTCACCGTTCTGGCGTGGGAATGTCACTTGGTCACGGTGGGAAAGGTTTGGGAACAGGTTACTCACCGGGCAGAGTTCTCACAGTTGTTCCCAGAACAGAGCGGTGCCTAGGGAAGGGGGAACCCGGGCTTGGATCAGCAGGATCAGAGGAGAAGTGCCTCGTCTCCGTGCTGCATGTGCTCGGGAGGCTCCAGGCTGCGGGCGAGTGTCCGTGAGCGCCGGAGCCCCCGGGGAGCCACCGCCACCGCCGCCTCAAGGACACGCGGCCGCCGCTGAAAGGGGACACCGAGCCCTGGGGACAGCCCGTGCTGGGCAGCGCAATAAATAACCGGCATCATCGCCGGGGGGCAGGGCCGGCGGGGCAGGACGGGCAGGACCGCCCCGCCCGGGCCCCGCGGCCCCGGCTCCTCCGCCCGCCCGCCCGCGGGAGGGACCGGGCCGGGCCCGGGCGGGGCAGAGCTGCCCGCTGCCCCGGAGGGCCCCTGTCCTGCCCCTGTCCCTATCCTTGTCCCTATCCTTGTCCCTATCCCTGTCTCTGCCACTGTCCCTGTCCTGCCTCTGTCCCTGTCCCTGTCCCATCCCTGTCCCTGTCCCTGTCACTGTCCCTGTCCTATCCCTGTCCCAGTCCCTGTCCCTGTCCCAGTCCCTGTCCCTATCCCTATCCCTGTCCCTGTCCCTGTCCCTGTCCCAGCCCCTGTCCCTATCCCTGTCCCTGTCCCTGTCCCAGTTCCTGTCCCTGTCCCTATCCCTGTCCCTGTCCCTGTCCTGCCTCTGTCCCTATCCCTATCCCTGTCCCAGTTCCTGTCCCTGTCCCTGTCCCTGTCCCTGTCCCTGTCCCTGTCCCTGCCTGCCAGAGGGACGCCAGGGAGGGGATAAAGCGGAGAGAGCTCCGCTTGCAGAGATTTCCCCGGAGCGATTCGGGACCGCTCGCGATGCTCTGGCCAGAGCAGAGCCCATCAGGTGTGCAGCAGCCGGACACACCCCCTGAGCCTCTGCTGTGTCACAGGGACTTAAAGGAGAAATAAAGGAATGAGAAACCTGGTATGAAATATATATGAGTCAGAAACAAATGTTTAGAAGAGCAGATAATTTCCTCTTCTAAAAACAGCCTTGTTAAAACACGACTGAAAAGGTATTGACGGCTCTTTGGGACCGGCGTGCTCCAGGCTATTTAACTGTGTCGACCATTTCAAATGTAGAAATTCCTTATCTCCGCCCATGAGCTTTTGTTGTGCTCTCCTCCCTGTCCAGCTGCAGAGGATGGAGTGGCTTTGCTGGCACCTGGTGTCCTGTCAGGGCCAGCCCAGCACAATCCCGGGGCAGCCACTGCATGGGGAGCACCAGGTGATGTTCCCTTCTCTGGATTCCTAGAACTGAAGGCCAGTGTTTCCAGGCTCAGCAATGGCATGTGACAAAGTGACTGCAGAGTTTTCCTCCAGCACTGCTCAGGGTCATGGGGCCATTGCTCATTTAGGGAAACCTGTGCTCATACGTGTGAAGCAATCGCTGGAGTCACTTCTGGAGAAGCAGAACATGAATTAACATGAATTAATGAATGTGTATGACATTAGTGCTTACTCTTTCACTTTTTGCTTCACAAACAAGCTGGGTTTGCTTTTAAGGATTGTTAAGATCATACATGGGGATGTGAAATGCTCATTAAACCAGAACTGTATCAGTACTGTGGAGTTAATGTTTGCTTTTAGGTCCAAATCTGAAAGCACGAGTTTGTATCCAGAGACCCAAGAGTGGTCACAGTTGCAAAACTGAGTTTGAAAGCAGAATGGTCACAAATGAACTTAGAGGACAAGAAAACTTCAGCTTCCAGGAAATGAAGAACTATTTCTGAGGTTACATTTCCCATATTGTCCTCACAATAACAGCTCCATTCCTACTGGATCCTGTGGTATGGAAACACAAACACCAGGTTCCATGTTGAGAGTCACCTGGCAGTTTGAATGCCCAGTGTGCTAGCACTGAGCATAGCCCACGCTGGAAGCACAGAACTGAACAGGGCTGGTGCCTTTCCAGGAGATGAACTTGCAGGAGCTGTGCTGAGCTTCTGCTGGGCACTGGCACTGGGCACTGATCCATGCCAGGAGAACACACCAGCACTCCCAGCTCGGTGTGCTCAAGGAATTGCCTACAAACTCACTCCTTCTGGATCAGACCAGAGAATTGTTTCCATCTTCAGTTGTCCCAATCAATTTTCTGTTGACTGGGGAAATATCAAGAAGCTGTTGCACATAACACACATTGTACATGAGAATTGTGTGGGTAGGAGCATCCTCACAGAATTCCTACATTTCCACTAAACTGAAGGTGTGCATCCCTGATCACTGCAGGTTTGCATCATGATGATTCTAATAGTGGCAGCTCTCAATGGAATGGCAGGGAAGCAGCCAGGGTTACATTTTGCAGACACAGTAACTGTGCTTTTACTTTTGAGACTGTAGTAGTGTCCCAGGTGAAGCAGCACAGTCTGCACACATTCCCAATGGCTCTGCTTTTCCACATCAGACCATTTGTTTTCCCTTCCACATCAGCTTGTGTCTCTCATTGCCCAAGTGCTGCCCCCATGAGAGCTGGCACTTCACCCTCTGTGTCCCCAAAAAACAAAGCAATCCAAGAGAGGGAAACCCAGTCCTGCCTGAGCAGCCATTGTGCCCCCAAGAAGACAAATACAATCACTTTCGAGGCCAAGCTAAAATACCAGGCTTTCCTCTTATGAAAGGGACTAAAACCTGTTCAGATTTCCATAAGTGCTTTATAGAACGTCAGTTGGAGTTTTACAGGGAGATTTTACTTTATTTTCAGTCCTCCAGAAATAACCACCTGTTCCTGTTATCCTGGTCCAACCCTCCCTCGAGAGAACAAACACATGCTGAATTTTAAACGTGGAGACTTTGACCAGAGAAACCCAGAACCTTATGTTCACTTCAATCCTGTGAAATATTGATCCAAGTTCTCCAGTCCCAGGAATGCAAGTACAGTGGGTGACACCTCTGCTCACCTTGAGCTGCTGGGTACCAGTGTCAGTGGCAGCTGCTCCTTACCCAACCTAACCATCTGAGGGCACCAATGCCATTGTCTTTACATCTTTCTTTAATTTTTTTATTTCTTTTCATCCTCTGGATGCTTTTTCTCAGTGCCTGACCTCAGTGAAATGGAAGATTCCTGAGATAGGGGTGTTGTTTCCTGGTAGATAATGTTACACTTGTTTTCAGCATTCTGTATGGTTATCATAACCAGAGTCTGGAGCCTGATTTGTTGTCAGCCATCACTTTTTGCTTTCCAGGAGTGAAATCTGAAGGATCCTCACACAATGGATGCCCACAAATGCAGAGCCTGAAGTAGCTCCTCCACTCCCACACGCTGTGCCCTTCCTTGCTTACTGACAGCTTCCCTGCCATGAGGTCACTGTCGAGTGAGCAGTGCTGTGTGCAGTGCTTGTAGTGGATGTAGTGGTATTTACTCACCCTTTTGGGGCTGCAGGGGACCAGCACACAGAGCCCATTGTGCCCAGGCCCAGCTGTGCCAGCAGCAGCACCCAGGGCCTCCAAGGAAGGCAGAGCTGTCCCTGGCTGGCACTGCCACCCCCAGCTGCTCCCCACCCCAGGACACTGGGATTGCTGCAGCATCTGCCTTCTTCAGACTGAAGAGTTAAGTGACTCCACAGGCACTCGATCCATTATTAAATGAGAACACATCTCAATGGATCAAACACTGGCTGGAAAAACAAGGAACCCCCTCTTCACTCCTACAAACTCCTCTGTCAAAGGGGGAGCCTGGTTAAAATGTTCCTTGTGACAATTGCTGCCCTGCTTGTTCCCGCAGTTCCCAGCTCATTACCACAGGGATATTTGCAAATAACGTTTCTATTTTCTGATTGCATCATCTGAGTCAGGGATTTAACAGCTACAGGGGCCAAAGGGCAGCACGCCCTCGGAGTGGTGGGGAGGGAACTTTGCCACAGACTGCCTGTGACTCAGGAAAGAGTGTGATAAGAGATGTACAGGATTATCCTGTATCTAACGGCTGCTGCCTTCCTGCTCCCTCCATTCTCCAGCTCTGCACTTGCCCTGAACCAGCTGCTGCTTCCTGACAGAACTTCCACCTGCAGGGCATTCTGGCTTCCCCAGAACAGCAGGATTCTGCTCTCACCCAGAATTCAGCAGAAGGCAAATACAGAAATACAAAGTTCCTGGACAGCCAGGATCTCTGGCAAGTGTCTGACCATACCCAGGGAACAGGAATATTTCCCCTTGACCACGTGTTACCAGGCAGATTTGACTGTACATTGTAAAGGTGACTCCCCAAATGATTTGGAGGAGGCTTGAATAAGAAACTTTATTCTGGTCAGAAAAAGTCAAGGCTTTTCCAAATCCTACAAAAAGCATCTGAAATTGGAAAAAGATAGAAACTCACTTAATGTGGATGTAAACCAGATACTCCTCCTGGTGGAATGCCCACTTTTGAGAGACATGGGATTAACAGCAGGTGTAGCTGCTTGGGGCCCTCAGTAATTCTTTCCTCTAAACAAGATTATTGTCACAGAGTCAGCTGGAAGTCAAGCCACTGGCACCAGAGTTTACAGAGAACTTTGGGTAAAACAGAGCAGAAATGTTACATGGCATTTCCTTCCCACATCCCTGCTGTCCTCACTTATTTGCAACAACCTTAGAATCCCTCCATGTTCCACCAGAGATCAGGGATCACCCAGAAAAGTAACCTCTATCTTCTTTCCATTTGGCCTGGATCCCTCAGCCAGTGCGAGCAGCTGCAGACACAACTCTTGCCATGAGCAGGACTCGGTAGGATTCTGTGATGTCACCTTTCACAGTCAGGAGGGCTGACACGAGCGGGGGGTCACTGGTCTGCAGAGAGAACCACACAGAAACCAACCTGGTCTTTTGGACACAGGAGACACAGCTGATCACCCTCTGAACTCTCTTCCACATCTCAGTGCTCAAGGTACCAATTTTAGCCACAGGTGACAGGTTACAGCCACTGTGCTGGCTCCTCTCTGTCCCCAAGTGATGCTGATGCTGCAGGCAGTGAGGTATGACAGTGACTCAGTGT